TACTCCTGCACTCAATCCTAAAAATGAAGTATTTCAGAAAACTATCTGATTCTTGGGACCATATCTGGCAAGGAAGAGAAGGTAGGAAAAAAAGACCCTGTATAACTGTTCTTACTCTCAAACATCTTTAGATCAGCACAATAAAATTCTCCCTTGTGTATCTATGCATTCTATCACAAATCACTTTGGGATCAAACAGTATTAAAAAGCTGACATATCACCTTAAATATTTCTATAAGTAACCCCATTGCTGTGATTGTTTTCAAACAGTAATCCTTACTCATGAGTGTGACTGTAGAAGTTCAGTAAAACTGGCACAAAGGGGCAGGAAGTTCTATATGGGCTCCTCTAGAGGAAGAATTTGTATGAATGTAGTTAAAGTTTCCATTCAAAAGACCCATTTGCAAAAGTCAAGTACTTCTGCAAAAATAAAGAAGTGATGGGGTCACTGTACCTGTTTTCTGCCCTTTAATTCTGTACAGTATCTTGGCATGTTCCCATTCCCCTTGATAATTAAGTGATAAGCAGGGACTTGCTAGTTCTTCACCTTCTTTCACTGTTAATAGGGAAAAATACAGAGAGAAAGAGTCTGCTTGAGATACAATTATTTCTAATAGGCAAACAATTTTCCCACCCCGTTACTCCCAATGTAATGTTTTCTATTTTATAATTGAATGTACAGCTATCAATCAGACATAGGTCCAGGGTAATAAGCAAAGCTAAGATCCCTAATTCTCCAAAGATGGAATAAAAGGTAAACTCTCCTTTGAGTCAAACTAAATGTAGTTCTTTTAACAACAATACAGTTGTGGTTACTATTGCCTTCTTCCACCATCAGTTTAAGTTTCCAATCTAGCCTGAAGCACATTTCCTATTGCTGACATTACCAATAGACTTCCAGATTCAATTTAAGGCCTCAGGGTATTAATAGTTAAGGCCAGGTCTGTTTACAGTAAGACCATCTTCATCCATGACTTGGTATTGAATCAGGCAGCAGACTTGACATGTATTACTGAAACCTGGCTGCATGAGGTAACAATGTAGCCTTGTCAGAGATCTGACCTACCAGATTTCAGTCCTCCATCTACTCTGACACCAGAGTAAGGGAGAAGAGATGGTTCTGATAATTAGAAATATCTTACTGGTGGTCAGGGGAGCTGCTCCTGAGATATAAGTGTGTGAGTGCCTCTATGTTAGGCTAGGTTGTAGAGACAAGCTTGGGAACCTGCTGGCATAATGACTGTCTTGCTGCCTGGCAGAATCCCTCCCCAAGATACTGAAGTGGGTTTCCAGACTGATGGGGGAGAATCCCCACCTGCTGGTGCTTGGGAATTTTAATCTGCCAAGCCTAAGAGCCTGCTCTGAGAAGGCTCAGGAATTCAGGTCTTCCACAGCTTGTCTCAGGTAGTCTAGGCCTGACCCACATTAGCTGTTACACCTTGGACTCTGCCTTTGTCTCTGAGCAGGTGGTTGGTGATTTGGAGGGGGAGGGGATATCCAGATATCCAATGGAGCCAATTGGTTTCCAACAAGCACTTGGGGAGTTCCCCAGCTCTCTGCCAGGCAGTTTTGTCCACTACCTGGTATTTCCTGCAGCAGGAAGTGAACTACACACTGGACAGCACTGCCCCCAAGCAGCCTCTTGGAAGCAGATCCTAATTGGTGCCTTGGTTTTCTGAGATCCTTCACAAAATGAAGTGGCAGAAAATATGCCTAGATGCTGCTGGAGGAAGACTTGAAATGAATCTGATTGAGCACAGGTATGTGCCCATGTTTGGACCTACACCTTGGCAATAAAGGAAGCGAAGCATGTTTATTTCTCCTCTGTTATTGGGTCAATAGGCTGTCATTGAACAGCCTTATTTAGGATAACCAAATCCCTACAGGGAGGGGGCAATTTGTAGATCTTTCATCTGGCCACTAACCAATTTGCACAATACTTCACTGGTAAAGATGCTCAGATTCACCGAAGCCTTCACCCAGCATGGGCAAAGCGGTGACTGGCGCACTGTTTTGTGATGTTACCAGTATTCCTTTTGGTCTGTGACTTCTGAGGAAGTGGACAGGGCACTTTTTAGATTGTCTGCCACCTGCCTTTTAGACTCCTGCCCATCCTGGCTGCTACAAGAAAGGATGTGGCTACCTGGATCCAGGAGATTATGGGAGAAGGAGTTCCCAGCAGCTTTGAAAGAGGTTATCCCTGGATCTGGGGATTTTGAGTAGCTATTATCTGGTCATCAACCTTCCCCTTTTAGGGAAATTTGTTGAGACAGTAGTAGTATACCAAATTTACAGCACCCTAGATGAAGTAGATATCTGGACCCTTTTCAGCTGCATTGAGATAGGACAGAGATGGCACTGGTTGCTCTCCTTAATGACCTGTGTCAGGAGTTAGAGGAGTGTAGTGCACCCCACCCCTTATCCTTTGGACTTCTTGGTGGCTTTTGATACCATTGACTGTGGTATCTTACTAGACCACCTATGTGGGTCAGGGATTAGAGGCACTGTTTTTCAATGGTTCCACTCCTTCCTTAGTGGATGGTTTCAGTCAGTGATGGTGGGGGGAGGAGAGGTCAGCCAAATGGCTTCTGACATGTAGAGTGATACAGAGGTTGATCCTCTCTCCCTTGCTTTTTAACATCTATATGAAGCCTCTGGGTGAAGTAATCTGTTGGTTTGGGGAGCAGTATTATCAATATGCTGATAATACCTAACTCTACATCACCACCCTGGGCCATAAATGAGAATCTGTGGTGTTCTTTCCCAGTGCTATAACGGTCTGAATGGGAGAGAACAGAGTGAAGCTGAACCCAAATAAGATAGAGTTATTATCTTTGTATCAGAGTTTTCTTTCAACACCAGTGTTATCACTGGATGAGTAGGCACTACCAATGAAAGAGCAGGTTTGCAATTTGGGGGCTCTTCTAGACTCATGACTCCTGTTATAGCAGCAGACTGTGACAAGTGTAGCTATTGCAATCATACTTGACGTAGAAGGACCTGGTTATAAGCTCTCATCGCCATCTGGATAGACTATTGTAATGTGCTTTACATAGGTTTGCTCTTAAAGACTATTCAAAAACTGTAACTGGTCCATAATGTGGCAGCCTGTATATTTCCTGATTTCTGGCAACGGGAACATATGACACCAATTTTGTGGGCCCTGTAATGGCTACCAATAAATTTCTGGATACAATATTCAGTGTTGTTCTTATCCCTTAAAGCTTAAAGCTTAAAGCCCTTCAAGCCTTGGCACCTGGGCATGTACAGGACTGCCTGCACCAGAATCGGCCCAACCTATATGATCTTGTAGGGAACAGCTGCTAGTGATCCTGTACTTCTAGGAGGTAAAGGGAGCCCTGGCTAAGTGATGCTTCTTTTCTATGGCAGCACTGCTGCTTCAGAATGGCCTTGTCTCGGCAATCAGACTTGACCCTTCCTTACAGGCTTTAAGGACATTATTGAAAACCAAATTAATTCAGAGGGCATATTCTTTATTTACTGCGTTGCATCATTTTAATTTTTTTTTCATCTTTTTTGTTATTGATACTTTTTACCATTGATGTTTAATTGTTACAGACATGTGTACCCTGAAAGCTGCCAAGACTCATCAGAGTGATAGATACATAGAAAGATACATACACAAACACATACACATCCATCCATCCATCTTGATGGTCTATCTCCCAAGTACTAACCAGATCTGACCTTGCTTAGCTTTTTCAAGATAGCCAAGGCTGATGTTCATAGTCTATTTTCTAACTACACATACGGTTATTTTAATCGAGTTTGATCTGTTTTAATTATCTTTAAATTATGTTTTATTATGTATTGCATCTAATACTTTGAAAGAAGAGAGAAAGGAACTAATCGATTTTAACTGGGTAATATTATTCATATGTCACTACTACTTGGAATGGTGAACATATGAAATAAAAAAGCAATTTAGAATCCCTGTAGATCATTCAAATAATATATAATACTTACAGGCTTGTCCTTCAACTCCTCCTAAAATTGCAAGTCTTGCTGACATTAATCCAAGTCCCAAGTAACTAGACAGATTGAGAGAAGCATGATCAAAATAATTCTGATAAAGACTAGATTCTTTTTTGTTAGGTAGTACCTATAAAGTACAGAGTATCTACCAATGGTTGACTATAAATAACAGATACAGAATGCATTGGATTTTGTAGCCACTGAATTGTGAAGCAGTCAAAAAACTTGAGGTCACTTTATTGCAGACTACAGGAATACAAGTGTTGAATATATGAGAAAGGAGAGATTATTTTGAATGTGGCAGATCTACTGGAAGTCCAGTTTGCACCTTGCAGTTATTCTAATACTTGTAATAATAATTTTATGAAAAATATGACTAATTTTCTATTTTTTTTCCTAAATTCCATTTCACAGTTTCAGTTATAGACACTTAGTTTGCTTTCACACCATACATTTTAAATGATTAGAAAGGCCAAGTGGTGAAATGCACTTTGGGCCTTTTTAAAACAAACTTCATCACTTAATAGTCAACTAACTTCATGGTTACTAAAAAAAAAAAGCATCATGAAACTGATTCAAGAAGAGTCAGAAAGTAAATATATTGTATTTCTTATAATAATGAAAAAGAATTACCTTTGATGGCATCCTAAGATCAATGTTCAATAGGTCTTTATTATAAGATGGCTGAACCTTCTATAACTAACAATGGTATGGTAGCATGCTGAATTTGAATTGCCCATGATCTGCTATTATTTCCCCAAAAAGCTGCCCTTGAAGGAAGGAAAAGATACTTTTGAAAAGTATGGGAAAGGTACTACAAATATTTAACATACCAATGTGGCCAGCACCTTTCTGCAAATTTATGCTTTGTTTTTTTGGTTCCTGGGCCTCCTGGCTTACAGAAAGCTATTTGAAAAATCTGATCTACATTGTTGCCCAGCCAATCTAAATTGCTCAGACTTTTTGGGGAAACAGTGTCAGAGATATGGGCTATAAAATGTGCTATGAAAAAAAAATCCATTTCAAACAAATTTGGTAGTTTCAAAGCTTGTTTCTAAAGTGATTGGGCTGTGATAACAGAGGGGGCTTCCTGCTTGCCAAGGATGGTAATTTCCACACTAGATATTTATGGCATCTTCTAGTCATCCAACCATCACTGTGCCAAAAGAACAGTAATGTGGGCAGACTTTACATATTACAATGATGGGTGGTTGTTGGCCATAACATGGTGCTATGAAGAAGATGTAAGTCACTAATGCAGAAATGACTTATGCCATGGCATTATCTAACCTATCTGCTATCCCCTCTGGTTTCCTGTTTTATAGGAGTCAAATAAGCCATCGATTTGTTGCTACTCTAGAATGCCCTTGAGGTAGATTCTTAGAGCCCTGCATATATCTAGTCTGTGCCAACTCCAGTCTTGTGGGTGAGTATAATCTAGACAAAAATTGAGCAGCACAATGTCTTGTTCCAGATTAAATTTATAACTGACTCTGGGCATGAAGAGGGGTTTGATCTTAACATTACCTTATTTTAGATCCTGTATAATTGAGAGCACCTCTAATTCTCCCAGCTTTGTAACCATGTTTAAGGCTATCAAAAAGGCTACTTTCCAGAAACATACAGTTTGACTAGAGATGCCTAAATGTTTACATGCAACTATGTATTAGATACTTTTATAAGCAATGAATTACTATGAATATTTAACAAAATTTAACAATCTTTTAAAAAATAATTTACTGCACTATGTGAAAAAAGCTGTTTCTGGCAACTAACCTGTGTGAATCCAGTTTATACACGGTATTAAACAAATTAAATGAAGTCATGTGTTCAGTAGTTGAGTTCTCCACAGATGTCTGTAAATAAACAGAAAACCTCATCTTGATATTCCATGAAAAGAAAATAGAGCAATGTGGCTGGAGAGCTACTAAATAGCTATATTTAAATGTTTTTAAAATTGTATGTTACACCTCTATGCATCATGGTCAGAACAATCTCTGCTTAGAAAGAGACAATAGAAAGGAAAACAAAAGACCAGAACATCTCCTCACCAGCAATCATCACCCAGATAAGCAGAGGTTACCACCAAGATTAAACCCAGACAAACAATAAAGCAATAAACAGTACCCTAATCAAGGAACTACCAAGGGAAAAAAAAAACACCCCCACCAACACTGGCAGGGCATGCCACAATATATAAACAGAGAGCAAACCCCATCCCATCCTAGCACCGAAGATGTTACCTAGCCAGGTAACGAAACATTTGCAAGAAAACAACCAGGCTCAGAACCAAGGACTCCACAGTTCAACCCTGAGCTGCATATATTTGCTTCTATTGGAATAATTCTTGGTTCTAACATGTCCATATATAGTATTGCTTCATACATTGTCATTTGTTCTTTAAACTTGTCCCCTCTTTCTTTTTAAGGCTCTCATCAATCATTCAAGCACAACTTTCTGTTTTCCCTTTCCTTGTGACTCATTTATCCTTCCTTCACATATTTGTTTTGCAATTTTCATCCTCATTCATTCTCTATGAATAAACAATATACAAATTCTTCTGGTCACCTTTATATTCAACCCACATTCCATAAGCACCCATTCATTTCTCTTATTCTTTATTGTATTTTACCTTACCTACTTCTTAAGTAACCTATTCCCACTGCATCAACTTACTTTTAAATTTCTCCTGACATACCCAACTTTATATATAACAAAAGAGATGCATGCTCGTATACAGAGCCATTTACGCTTCTTTTGAGAAAATTTCTCACAACAGACCACATATTACTTGTTACATTTCTACCAGCATTATATGTTTTAACATTTCTTAATCCATTTTTCAGTCTTAAGTAAATATTATACCAAGCTAAACAAATCCATTTACTGGCCTTAGTTTTTAACTATGTTTGCATTATTTGCAATCACACTATTTTCCCTGTGAAAGACTGCTAGCGTTTTTCTCATCCACAGCCTCTTTCACTTCATCATTCCACCCAGCATCCGTTTTTACACTTTCCATTAGCGTAACTCCACGTGCTTCTGTGGCCTAACAAAATTATTTTCAGACATTGTTTTCCTGCTATCCTTTCATGCTTGTTTTTCTTTCACTTTTCTTTCATGGCCATTTTTCCAAAGATCCACTTGACACCCCCAAATAATGAACCGTCCCATATTCAGAACATCTTATTAGCCTTGTATTCTTCACTAATTCTCTCCGTCCATTATAAGTAAGCAAGTCATTCCTGCATTTTTGTTTGCCTGATGTACACATGAATATACAGATATTTGAAATAAACAGGACATTTTTAAACTAGGTGCTCACTGAACAGTCACTGTTCTCATTCATTCTTGGTCTCTGAATGTCCCAGTCACATTTTCTATAATTTTTCTCATCTGTCCATCCATACCAGCTAGCAGAACAACTTTTCCCTCTGGATCATGTTTGTTCAGAATGTTGTATAATACCTTCTCAAAACTGTTTCGCTATCCCCATTCGTTGGAGCATAACGTTTACTAACCTATGGATCCCTACTTTCATACATATCCATAATTAATTAGATGAAACCAATTCATACTTTTGGTAACACATTTAGCTCTTTCATTCATAATTATACCCTAGACCTTCACTTCCCTACATCAGCACCACTCTGCAAGACTGGACTACATTCATTCAGATCTAATTCAATCCTTGTTTTAGTGTTAAAATTTTCCTTTGTTTTGTTCATCTGTTATTTCATGCTCTTTACCATTTAATCCTTTTACATTCCAAGTTGCAATCTTCCATATGCCACAGTTATCAGATGGGTCTCTAGATACTGACGTCCACCCCCCATCAGACTACAGTCAATTGAGTCTTTCACATAATGCTTTTTAGTAAGATAGAGAATGGGTAAATTAAGTAATCAGCCTTAAGCTCAGCTGTAACTTAAGTATAATTATTTTTATTGTATTAAACCAGCCAATTAACTAGTGGTTGTCTTATCATACTATATTTATTGTAAATCTAATTAACTAGTGGTTACGATTGGCAACTAAGAATGGCGGTCATGTGACAAAGAAATTCAATACAGGTAGTCCTCAGTTAACAACACTAATTGGGACCGGAATTTCTGTCACTAAGCAATATGGTCATAAAGCGTGATGTCACGTGACTGCATTGCTTAGTGATGGCAATCCCAGCATTCTCTGTTGCTGTTGTTAATTGAGAATCACAGGTCATTATGTGAGGACCTTCTTGCAACTTCCTGCCAGCTTCCAACAAGCAAGGTCAGTGGGAAGCTGGCAAGAAGTTGCAAGTCCCAGGCGGCTCGCAAGCAGGCTGGCAGGTAGGTAAATGGCTGCTGCTGGGTGTAGGAGGATGCGTGAGGGGTTGGTGCAGCACACAAGGGTGCAGTGGAGCTTGGGCTGGCTGCTGCAGGATGTGGGTGGGTGTGCAAGAGGCCAGCGCAGCACAAACATGGCAAGGTTTGGGGTGGCTGCTGCAGGGTGCACTAGGGGTTGGCATGATGTGAGCATGGTGGGGCTTGGGGTTGCCGCTGCAGGATGTGCAAGGGGCTGGTGAGGCAAAGTGCGGTGCAAACATGGCTGGGAGTGGCTGCTGCATTGTGGGGAGACTTACCTGAGTGACTTGAGAATTTCCCTGCTCACTTCCCATTGACTTTGCTTGTGGGAAGCCAGCAAGGAAGGCTGCAAATGGCAATCATGTGATTGCGGGACTGCAACTGCCATAAGTGCGAGCCGGTTGCCAAGTGCCCAAATTGCGATCACATGACTGCAGGGGTGCTGGGACAGCCAGAAGTTCGAGGACCAGTCATAAGTACCACTAGTTCAGTGCCGTCGTAATTTTGAACAATTGCTGAACAAGTGGTTGTTAACTGAGGACTACCTGTAATAGGGCTAGTTTAACACTTCCACAAATATGATTGCATAGTTTGAAGCCTCCATAAATTCCATTTGATTGTTATTTTTGCTCAAAGGTTACCTGACTACCTGCCATGAACCAATGTAGTTGGAGGCAGCTACGCATTTAAGTATAATGGGGAGGCACAACATAGCGGTCCCCTTCCTTTTTATACCCTCCAGTCACTATTTCTGACTACATCTCCTCTGTTGGCAAAGGGAGGCATGCATGTTCCTAAACAGAGCAAGAGGCATGCTGAGGAAAGGAAGTAACTGGCAAAAATGTTGCCTCTCAGCCCCTGGTGGCCAGGAGCTTCTAGCAGCCAAAAGCAATGCTGCCAGAGGGGCACTAGAGATGTGCTGCCTGGCAAAATTTTCCCAGCTTGATACTTGTAAATGAATGAATAAAAAAATTAAATGGCAGGTACTACAATTTTTGTTAGTTCCTAAGATCTGCGGACATCATTATAAGTCTCTATCAGACCTATAGCAATATACCAGAGAGATTATTTGGGTAATATCTAAATTATATAATCTTGGATTTTAGGTAACATCTATGGTCATTTATATAGCCATTATGAACCTTGCGCAATTGTTCAATATTGGAAGTCATATATCTAAAAGTAATAGCCGCTGACAGCCTTTCTCCTCTTGAATAGAAATACCTACTAGCATTAAATGTCAACAGTGAACAGTTAATTATGTTTTTACTTGAATACAAATTTTGAATACACACTTAAGCTGGCATGGTTTTATACCCCAAATCAAAGTTGAAGCATATCAGCAGAAACAAAAAAGCAGAAAAAAATCTGGTGATTTGTTGAAAGAATTGAAATAAAAGGGACTTGTATTCTTCTTACTTCGGTGCTTGGGCGAAATGTGATTTGAGTAGATCCACCACCTAAATCTAGCATTCCTACACATTTCTTCGTTGGATTATTCAAGCTATCTGAAATGCATCATTTGATAAAGTAAAGTTAATGGAATGTTTATTCAAGAAATGTAATTATTTTTACAAACAATTCCAAGAAAAACACTTGTACCTTGCCTATATTATCACATATATATAAATCAGATTTATAATTCAAAATAACAAACAATGAACATAAAGTACATGAAAATGTTTTAATTTCTTTCATTTGCTGAAATATATTTAAAGTAAGCATAGATTTTAAATTTAAACTGTAACTTGAGTTTTACTTGAAGCAACTGTAGTTACAGTCTTATTTTCTGGGAACTGCTACACTGAACACAATGGTACTTATGTGAATCTTGTAGTTTGATATAGCAAATATTATTCTGAACATTTAGAGAGAACATAATTTGGATTATATAATGTAAATGTAATACAAATGTACTTACAAACATACCTGTTAAAAAATTGATTGTGATCCATGCTGAAATACCTGGTTTTAAAAAAATTGCAATTACATACATATAACCAGATCAGTTTTCAGTGATTTATTTATCAATAAGAGCAAATTTATTTGGTCAGAATCACTCAAAGCAGGATAAGTGAGAAAATGGCACAGGAGAGAAATGCTTGTTGCAAAATTAGGATATAGGTATCTGAATGAACACTAAATGGGGTCTAGGTTTCAAACTGGTTTCAACTGTACCAGAAAAAGAGCTGAATCTGTAGAGGAAAAGTTTATAGAAAAAGTCAATTCAGTGTGGTATTTACAAGCTAGGAACACACATAAAAGATCTTAGCTAACTTAGAGCAATGGTATACATATACACTTTTTTGCACTCACATATTTGCATACGGAAATGATCACTATGAATTTATTCAAAGCATCTGCTAGAATAAAGTACTGTATAGTATAGAAAATTCTTTTCCCTAGATTGTATCCATTAAAGTGTACAACTAGTATTACTTTCTGTGCCAATACTGTGTGTAGCCTACAATTCAAAATAAAGTAAAAAATTAAGTGCAGTACAAGCTGAAAAACTTATCTACAGGATTTTGCCTCAACTTGTACTTCCAGTCTTAGAACATGTAAAGTCTAAAAGCAAGTAAAGACTAAATGAAACTACAAACAATACATTTCATTAGCTGAACTGATTGCTCATATTATTCTTACTTGAACCTGCTTCATTCTGTGGAAGATGGATACATGGGGTTGTGCCTGGGATTGAATTCTATTTAGCTATACTAACTTTCTAAATGAGGAAGTCACTTATTCCCAGCAAGAGAATAAGGTTAGGGTACTCCTGCAGGTGCCAGGATGTGGCTAACATTGGTGCTTGACTAGACTCTGCAGGCTTTTAATAAAGGCTCTAGAGACTTCACACATTGTTTTCTGATTGAATAGATGAACTAAAACCTTGTCCCTTAGGTGACTGAGAAGGGAGTGCTGAGGAAACAGATTTTTTTCCTCCAACAATTCCCACTTACTATTACTTCATCCTTGCTACTCTTAACTTTAGACTACGTTCAGTGGAGTCAACTAGGTGTTCTCTAATAAAATTTCATGAATGCCCAGTCACCTGACAACTGAGAATTTTGCATAAATGACAGGCTGAGGAAGAATTTGTTTTTGTAGTTTTTTAAATCTGAAATGTCTTTTTCTTGCTTCAACAGGCTGCAAATGTATTAGTAGCAGCCATTTTGATTTCTATATAATAGGATGGAAATCATAGAGCAGCTTTTGGTTTCATTATGGACTACAAAGCCACTATTTCTGTACTTGAATGAGAATGACTTATTTATTTTTAACTGAAATAAAAAATTAACATTCTACAAAATTATTTTTGAAGCAGCTTAATTCAAGAATATCCAAATGTGAAACATGCAGTTTGAATGCTTCTTTTTGTTTGTTTGTTTGACATACTTATATGAAACAGGATTTTCATATTATATTACAGTGAAAAATAAGTGCAAAATTTAGCTAATGCTGCACCAGACACAAGGATCTTTCTGGCAATTCTTTTAAGTTGGTCTATGATCAGCAGAAGAAAAACACTCCTCCCATTAAAGATTTTGGGCAAAAAAAAGACACTTAGCCACAGCACTCCTTTTAAGTGAGGTGACTATTGTGAGGTAAGATTATTTGAGATTCTTCACTATTCATTTTCACTGACTCAAAGTTTCAACTATTAGTTTAAAAAGTTTTATTTAAAAATATACATAATAAAATATTTTAATATAAAAACCTCCTTTCCCAGAAGCAGCATTTGTAAGTTCCATCAATATATTAGAAACTTCCAAATATTCCACAGCCAAATAAATTTGGAAACAGTGCTTTAGACTGTTAGGTTAATGGAACAGGAATAGATTTTCTTTATATTATTCCATAAATATTTGCAAACAGTTAAAACAATGTAGAGGTATTAAACAAATGACTGTGCTTGCCCTTGGTTTCATAGAAATTCTGTCTGCCAGGAAGGTTATTGCAGAATCAAAAGCAACTGTATGAAATCACTGAAAAACAAATTCAACTACCTTCATCTGATCCATCCATTATGGAGACACAATCACTTCCTATAAAGAATGGAGACTCTTGAAAAATGTCCTTTACCTAAATTTAAAGGAAGATTAATACAAATTTAGTTAAAACTCAAAAACCACATTCTCCTTCAGAAAAGATGAAATTTCTCAGGAATTTGGTGACATTCTTCTTATGGAACAGCTTACTCTCTTATATTTAAACTACCTCCTCTCTAATGAGTTTTCATAAAGAAATAAAAACATTGCTGTGCAAGAAAGCGCCTTTGGGGAATGTTACTGTTAGTATCTACCCATATTAGTCACTGTCAATAAAATATTATTGTGTTGTTTTTAATCTTCTGGGTTTTTAATCTTCTGGATTTTTAACTATAACACCACAATGAGCTGTTGGATGTACAGTACCACAGATGTTAGTAAACAATAAATAAATATATTCAGAAAATTATCTCTTTCATATCAAAGCTGTGATCTCCCTCCACAAATTGCTAAGGAATGGAAATATATTCAAAAATAGTACTGTGATGTATTGACAGGATGCTGTTTTTTGTACTATAACTTGGCTAGCTTGAAAATTATGAGTGCTAAGTTTTCTAAGAAATAAAATCCACAACATGTCATGATATGAGATCTTTAGTTAGAGTCTATGACTACATCCTCACTTTTCACTAACCCTAATGTGTTTATTGACTCTAGTTTAGCATTATAATTTAGTCTTAGCTTATTTAATTTTGGCTTAGCATGCTCCTAGCCTTTAACAGTAAAAAAAAAAAAAAAAAGTTTTATCAGAGATAAAACAATGGATGACTATAAGAAATGTGGCAAAGAGATATTACAAATATCTCCTTGCTATTTATCAGGTTTACTAGTGTCCCCTGACAGTTGGCCATTCTCCAGGAAACAAGAATTGGCATACCATCTGAAGGTGGTAGAAAACCATAAATCAAATACACCATAATCTTGATACTCAGGAGCCATAATGGAGCAAGGAGCACCCTCAGAATGAAAATCTAAAATATTTAGGAAGAATGAACCCAATCTAGGTCAAATTATTCATGCACACCCTCAGAATGAAAATCTAAAATATTTAGGAAGAATGAACCCAATCTAGGTCAAATTATTCATGCACACCCTCAGAATGAAAATCTAAAATATTTAGGAAGAATGAACCCAATCTAGGTCAAATTATTCATGCACTCCAAGTGCAGACTTCTTCCAGATTTGTTGTATCTATATTAAGCTTTATCATGATATACTTATTCAAATCATCTATTACTTCATTGGAAGATTTTAAAAAATCAATATAATATTGATGACACCCATCTTTAAACTTCTGGAGGACAAACTGTAATACAGCCCCCTATTAATACTCAAACATTCATCATTAAGCCTGAAGTCTAATCATTACCTACTAGACTAGAATACATACTGCAAAAGATTTAAGGGAGACTGATTCCTGCTCTGATTTTATATACTAAACTAATTTAAGCCAATTAAAAGACAGTAAGAGTAGAGAAGAAAGTACCTTATCCAATAATTTCTGTGCCTTTTCTCCTGGCAGCAGTCTCAGGCCAGCAGTTGCTTTAAGAACTAAGGGAGTCAACTTCCACAAATTCATAGGAACAGCTTCTTTAGCAACTGCCAATAACTCATTTATTCCTTGAGCACACTGACAAAACAAAACAGTACAGTTTTTATTTAAGCAGGGTTTGTGTGTGTGTGTGTACATATGTGCCTTTAAGTCATTCTTAACTTCTGATGACTACCTGGACAAGTCCATGCAGTTTTCCTGCAAGATTTTCAGAAGTGGTTTGCCACTGCTGGCTTTGTGCGTGAGGCAGGACTAGAATATTCTGGCTTCTAGCCTGGTGCCTTAAACCACTACACCAAACTGGCTCTCATTCAGGTAGTTAAAAAACAAATAAATGTAAATGTGGATGATGCAGGATATTTATTTATCAGATTCTGAGGCTGCCTGACTCCTTGATGACACTGTGAGGCTTAAAATCTTCCTTCCTTCCTTCCCTCGCTCCCTCCCTCTCTCGCCTATATATGTATGTATATGTATATGTGTACGTGTGTGTGTGTGTGTGTGTAAGACAACAGAGTTTGCTTTTATTGTCATGCCTGCTCTATGGAATAGCACTCCCCCAAGATCTGGATGGAAGACTTTTAGGACCTGGCCTTTTTCCCCAAGCACTGAGCACTGAGCATCTTGATTACTTTGGATAGATGAAGCTGCCTCATGTGCAACATGTTTTATTGTTTTTAATTGGGGTTTTTGGTTGCTATGTATTGTTTATACATGTATATACTAGCCTGAGTTGCATGTCATTTGGGCAACTACATACATAGATTAAATAAATTCAGTGACCAATGAAGGTGGAATAAAACACCTAACAGTAATCCTCAATCTTTATGGGATTATAATAATAATAATAATCCACATGACTATCAACAACTCTGGGTAGCTCATAACAATCAAACAAATAAATTCTATAGAAATGCTAGTGCCACTTCAAGAGCCAGGAAAATCCAGGATTTTGGCAGACCTTACCCCTATATGGAAGCAATGAGAATGAAACTGAGCAAACTCAGGGAGGCAGTGAAGGACAGGAAGGCCTGGTGCGATACGGTTCATGGGGTCACGAAGAGTCGGACACAACTGAACAACTGAACAACAAAACCCCTATATGACATAAAAACAACCCCATGGTCCTAACTTTGGCACAATGTATGCCTACCCTTTTAAGAATTATTCACTGGATAAGATACCTTTTACAAAATGGAGGGAGAATGTAATAAATGTTTAAACCTTGCATAACAAATAGCATAGATGAATATTTCAGCAACTATAAGCCTGTAAATCTGATAATACTATGATATATATGTTTCTTCAAAAGAAATCCCCATTATTTCCATTATGTGTTATTTCCAGGCAAGCATGGCCTAAACTGACTTATTTACAGTTCAAATTACCTTATCCACATTGTCAGCATACGCAGAGAGTCCTGGTTTTAATGCTTTGAATGTGGTATCAATTAGTCTAGGAAGTTCTGTGTTTTAAAAAAGAAAGATTAATCCAATGTAGTAAAGTGAATCTATACATAATTTTGCAGTTTGGAAAACTAAAACGAAGTTAATTAATCAAGAAATTAATGTGAAACCCTCCTTCATAAGAGGGACTAAGTGCAGAAAATCTCTGAGTATACCCAGCTGAATTATCCCCTTTATCTCCAACTGCCTTATGGGAAAGGCTCTTTTCATTATATGATGATACTATTTACTGTGATTCTTAAAAACATATACATTAATATTTCTTATATACTGCCTTCAACAATTTGTATCCTGAAAGATGGGACATAAGTAGCTATTTATATTCACATAGAAACTGCAATTAGGCAATGTTCTTTGCATCTGTTGCTTCATCTTTGAACTAGATCTCAAAAAACCCACCACCCTTAAATAAATAAGTAAATAAATGTGCCACAGCTTTAACAAATGATATTAAAATATTTGAGCCACTAGGGGGCAGCACATTTTGACATGAGAAAACTGATAGGAGAACAGATCATGACGAGAGTATAGGTAGTCCTTGCTTAGCGACCACAACTGGGACCAGCAACTCCGTTAAGTGCTGTAGTCGCTAAGCGAAACATCACATGACTGTGATGGGTTTATGACCTCACTTCCCCTTCAGTCATCACCACAGTTAAGCGAAATATCATGTGACTGTGACTTATAATTTTGCTTCCGCCTTCTCTATTAACTGCTTGTCGCAAGGCAGTTGCAAAGCACACAAATGGCAATCACATGATTGCAGAACATTGTGATGGTTGTAAATGCACACTAGCTATGAAGCATCCAAATGGCAATCATGTGACTGTGGGGCACTGCGATGGTCGTAAATGTGAGGACTGGTCACAAAGCTTTTTTTCTTTACACAGTCATAACTTCAAACAGTGTTAAATGAGGCAGTCAATAAGCGAGGACTACCTGCATTGTAGTGTCCTATTTTCAATGTAATGTAACATGTGGCTCTGCCCTGATTCAGACCAAATACAAAGGATTAGCAATTGTAAACAGGTAATAGGGCTATGTAATTCCTTGGAAAAAGGTACTTCAGAACATGCAGAAGCATGTTGCACCTCTTCTTAAATTGTTAAAGCAGCTACAACTTTTTCCACTTATGGCTCTCTCCACATGTAAGTGTATGCACAACTATTTCATTTTTTCCCCAAGATGTAACTGCTTTAACAGTTCAGAAAGAGGTGCTTCATGTGTGGTCCCACACATTCCAAAGCACCTCTTTTTGAAGGGTATGCACACCTCTTTATAGAGTCCTCTGTTCTCAAATTGAGGAACATCTCTGAAAAATGTTTCTTCCTGTGAATATCCTGGTCTTCACCAAGTGTGTTAGAACTTGAAGAAAGAAAATACTGAGCTTGGAACCAGATCTTATATTTGGCTTTGTGAAATACCAATATAAACACTTTTCCTTACAACTCTGGCAAGTTCTGCCATACATTTAATCTTCTATTTCAGGGGTCAGCAAACTTTTTCTCTAAAGATCTACAAGCCACCAGCAAGGAGACCATTGATAGGCCACCACTGCCATCCAGGACATCCTGACCCTGCCCTGGGAACTCAACTGAAACTTAGGCCTGGCGATCTGCTGTCTGCCCATCTGTGGGTCATATAAAAACAGGCAGCAGGCTGGATTTTGCCCATAGACCATAGTTTGCTGACCTCTGTTCTATTTCAATAGTTTGTAGCATTTCTTAAGTTCATAAAGAACCTAGGTCTTATCATGTTAGCAACAAGACCACTTTTTCCAAAATTTACATTTACATATTTACAGACATTTGTCCTTAAAGTGTGGATTAAAAGTTTAAAATTTTAACCATGTCCTCACATAGACTACCTCTGTAGCCAGGAGCTCTAGTTATTTTACTGAACTTTTCAGTTAAGGAAAAATCCATAATTACTGGTTACTGAATATATTACCCCATCTTAATCCTGGTTTGTTTGGTTTTTTTGAGTGCAGGTATTCCTGATCACACTAGAAGGAAGCAACCCCAAAATAATTACTTTTCAAGCGCCACTTTAATAATCAAACTCTTCTTCTGGTGAGACCCCTTACCTTAGAACATAATTTTTATTAAAAAAGAAAGTCATAACATGGATTAAATAGGTTATTTCTATGAAAGAATTGCTCTAGATGTGATCAAAATTAAAGTTTCACTAATATAATCTCAGTCCTAATGTAGAAAAGTGAATCAAACATGAAGCAGGATAGTGACAGAACCAATTTAATTTGGCTAAGGACTATTGACATTATTGCTTGCATGTGCAGAGATATTAACTTTAAATAAATGTACGAGCATACTACAGGACACTGAACATGGAGAAATTTGTTAATATCAATCATTCCAACTTCATCACAGTATGTGGGTTTCAAATGTGAACAGTTAGAAAGAAATTCAACATATATTGGCTATGATATTTTCTTCTACTCATTTTTAACAAATTCATGAATCTTCTATTATCATAATTCTTCAAGGAAAGCAGTATTAGCTTGAGCATCCATGTCCTTACACTATAGGTAGTCCTCAGGTTACGACAGTAATTGGCACTGGGATTGCTGTCACTAAGTGATGCAGTCACAAAGTACAATGTCTCGTGACTGCATTGCTTAGTGACAGGAATCCACACAGTCCTGATTGCTATCATAGCCCCAAGACAAAGTGGTTGGTTCAGGAGGAAGTGGCAGTAGACCCTGGTAAGGAGCATGGTAAGGAGCCACAGAGGGGTGGGGGAGGCCCCGGGAGGCCCAGCACAGGCTGCATGTAAGTTGGGGGGGGTGCTGCAGTGCTGCAGCCAAGGGAAGAAGAGTGTGGCACGGTGTGCAGGAAGGCTGGGGACTTACCAGAGCAACTTGTGACCTTCGCTGCCAGCTTCCCCATTGACTTTGCTTGTGGGAAAGGTTGTAAGTGGCAGGGAAGGTTGCAAGTGGCAATCACATGACCACAGGACACTGCAACCATCAAAAGTGTGAGCTGGTTGCCAAGCGCCTGAATTGCGATCATGTGACAGCGGGGGTGCTGCAATGGCCAGAACTTTGAGGACTAGTTGTAAGTACCATTTGTTTGGGACTATCATAACTTTGGACAGTTGCTGAACGAATGGTCAGTAAATGAGGACTACCTGTATTAGCAAATGGTTGAAAATTATGAACTGAAGGCATTACCTTTTGGTTTCTGTGCAAATCGGAATACATGTATTCGAGTCCCAGTGCTTCCAGCATCAAACATAATTCCATAAAGAACTGCCTCATCTTTTCTTGAGATCTCAGCACCAAGCTGCTTTTCCAAACCAATGTCAGCAGCTTTTCTTTTATAGTCAAAATTCCACTTTATATATACAGCATAAATAGCAGCACATGTAAAAAGTGCAAACACGCAGAACAGTTTTGGGATCTTCATGGTCTCCATTAGACTTTTTCTTTCACTTTTTACAGGAGTTGCCTATGATTTCTCTGCAATATAAAAACATTCAATTGTTTCATAAAAAGAACTATGAAATTTTATGTGAGAAAAATGTACCCATCATGCAAAACATACTAGAAAGGCTGCTTAGACACAGCATAACATTCCATCCTGTAATACCAATGATGTAGTAATGCTTTTTAATTTGTAATTTCAGCCTTGAAGACTTTAACACGATTATATTTCTAAAAATACACAAGAATCTAGCAAGAACTATCTTTAAAAACTTGCTATTCCAGAAAAATTATACAAAAGCAACAGCAATTAACATATTCAAAGGAAAGGTTTTTTTAAATAAACTAGTTCCTAGTTCAGGTAGGTTCCAGGTAGAAGATTATTACAACTTGGTGAGTATGGTATAATAACCATTTCCTCCTAGATTATGAGAACTTTGACCTCAGTTAATCTGAATCATAGTAAGCTGAATTTTCCATATGTTATGAGCACGTATATTCAGGAATTGTTATGTGTCTGTAAATACAGAATACAGATAAACTTAAATGGCTAAATTTAGATATCTAGCTCTTAGGAAGGGGGTAATCAATAAAACTGGAACCTATTCTCCATCAGAACACAATAAAATTTAACCTAGTGCTTTGACAGTTCCCTAGTCTTTCTCAGTGAAACTACAGTTTAGTTCTACACAACAGCAAACAATATTCTTTTTTGCAATGTGTGTGAATACAGTACAGTGGTACCTCGGTTCACGAACTTAATTCGTTCCGTGACTCTGGTCGCGACCCGAATCAAATTTTCCCATAAGATTCAGTGTAAATACGGTTAATCTGTTCTGACCCCTCCGAATTTGGTCGTGACCCAATTTTGGTCACGTCCCGAATCAAATTTTCCCATAAGGTTCAATGTAATTATGGTTAATCTGTTCTGACCCCTCCGAATTTGGTCGTGACCCAATTTTGGTCACGTCCCG